AACAGCAACAACATCTGGAAGGCTCTCAGTCAGAGGAAACCCTAAGTCCGTAGTATTAATGAAGCCTGTAGAGAACGGCTTCTGGTCACTCCTGGATTCACTTCCCCTTTTGTAAAGGATTTCTATGGATTTTGTCTGTTGTTCTGTCTAGGAGATATATAGACTGCTTCTGTTCCTCATCAGGCATTTGGATATAATTCTCAAATTTGAAAGACTTCTCCACAAGATATATATATATTTTTTTAATTGTTAAAACTTTTGTCCTACCACAGAGTTTCTGACAACAGGCATATCTGGAGTATAATTTTGCAGGCGTCTCCTCTATCTTTACATGAGACTTCCTTTTCAGAATTTGTTAAATTTGCCAGAAATGCAGCAGGAAAACAAAACTTGCAAAAAGTGGGATTTATTTTTATGGGATATTTTCCAGCAGTCACACTGCACTGATAATCCTGCCTGTTGAAAGTCACATACAGATCTTACTGAAAAAAAAAAAAAAAAAGAAAACAAGAGGCTGCTATTCGATTTTTTGGCACCTCTCCAGGAATACACAAAGAATTGAAGGGTTTTACTCCAGTAGGTCCATAGATACGACGTGTTCGTAAGAAGAAATTATGAATGTAACTTCAGAGCTTTTCTGTGTTTAGAAGTTTTCTCAAAAAGGAAAGATAAAAAATGCATATAAAACCACTACCCTAGTGACCTTGGTTGAATGAGGCCTATTCATGACACACCATAATGGAGTTTGAGAAAGGTTTGAAATGAGAGCTGCAGCACCGAGGAAAGGAAATGTGGGTACTGAGCATGACGTCATGTCCTCTACCCACTCACTATTCGGTTAGGTGGTGGCTCTTCTGAAATGTCTTTAAAAGAGACATTCTTTTTCTGTGTTTTTCAGGAAAGAAGTCCATTTCATTTAAAATTAAGTGGTTTGGTTTGAAATACACTCTATAGAAACCAAAAAACAAAAAAAACAAAAATACCCAGTGCCTTTGAGTCAATTCTGACTCATGGTGACCCTGTGTGGTACAGAGTAGAACTGCTCCATAGTGTTTTCTTTGCTGTAATCATTACAAATGCAGATTGCCAGGTCTTTCTTCTGCAGGGCTGCTGGGTGGGTTCAAACTGCCAACCTTTAGGTTAGTAGTCGAACACAAACTGATTGCACTACCCAGGGACCTGTTATATTCTAGGAATGAGTCACTTATTACCTTACTGTCTTTAGAAAAGAACAAAAATGAAGTGTGTCATAAAGTTTCCTGTGCTTATTCTGAATAGCAGGAGATGTGAAGAGGGCAATAAAAAAAAAATTGACGTGAGACAATCAGAAGTATACCTTCCAAGTTGAAAGAGGGAGGTGCGTTCCTGCTAAGATTCTGGTAATGAAAATGTGTGGATCCTCTTTCAGCACCCTGATCTTCTTGAAGTGAGCATACAGACTATTATGACTGAGTTGGGTCACCACATTTGCATTTTTCCTAAATTCTTAAAGTGTGATTTTTAGTATCTTTTTTTTAAATTCAAAAGCATTTCCAGACAGTTTTGGATTTTTACTATCCCATGGGATTCTGATTACTGCTGTCCCACTGTGCATTGAGAAGGGAACTTTCCTTCGTGGTCATTCTTTGCCTCTGGCCCACAGTGCAAGGCCTGATTGCTTGCGCTCCATGGGTAAATGAGAATTTGCCACATTAGGCTCAAAGAAACCCCAAGAAGCATGATCCAGCTGGGTTCCCTTATACAAATAAGAGAGATTATCAAATATCTGACATTATCCTCTTGGATGAGTTTTATGAGAGAGAACTTTATTTAAACATTTTCCAAACATAGATGATTCCCCACACCCATCAATATCCCGAGGAATAGGTCCAACACTTGAAAGCCCTATCCATTTCAGAATGAAGCCTGCAGTGAGTGGATGTGGGGCTAGTAGGAAAAATGGGTAAACCCATTCCATATACCCTCCATCAGTTTTAAAAGGACAGTATTGGGAGTGGGGGTTCTTAGTTTTTAACTTTTAAAGTTTAGCTATCATTGGCTTGTACTGAAGGAAAATCTCTGTTATTTGTAAGCCAGTGGCCCATAGAGTAGTTTATCCAACTGGTATAGAGTTGACCTTTCAAATTTGTTATCATTTGGGGCATTTGGAAATGTGAGGGTGTGTGAGTGTATGTCAAAGTGACGGAAGGGCACTGTTGTCAATTAGTGAGCCACAGCCAGGAGGCTAAACAACTTGTAACGAGTGAGCCAGTACACACATGAAGAATTGTCCCTCCCCAAATGCCAGTAGCAGCCCCATTTCCGGATTCATTTGTCCAGCATGCATATAGATGCACAGATTTAAAACTTTAGAAGTAAATCTCTGGAGCTGAAATTGAAATACTCCTACTGAAAATAAGTACAGTCTACCACCTGAAAACTACACCAACATCAAGATTCATCAGTGATTAGTACCTCTAGATGCTTTAGTTTGGATGTTGCTCTTATTTTATTTCTTTTTTCCCATGTCAGATACAGTGATATCAATCTCTCATCCTGTATACTTATAATCTATGAAAATACATGTGTTTACAAGCCATGTCTGTTTGCAGATAGACCAGCCTTTACCAAATTTCAAGACAGAACTACCCTAAAGGAGTGAAAAGCTTAGTTCTAGAAAGTGGGAAAGCTCTTATTGAATTTATGAGAATTCCTATCTGAAGGTTTTTTATGAGGCAATTATAAAATAAGACCCTATGGCTTTGTGCTGGCCTTCATAATGAATGAGCTTGGTCCCTTTTTAGGAAATTTAAGAATAGAAAGTTCTCTTATGTTTGTTCAATGCAGAGGTTTTATCTATTAATAGCAAGTAGTTATTACACTAATGAAGTAAGAAATTTATACAAATAAATTGTTATCTTTGATAGGTGGGGTGTAAACGTTACCCTATTATACAAATATACAAATCATCATTTCTTATTTTTTGATGTCATATGCACTGAAATTCATGTGGAATAATAAATTTTTGCATTATATTAAAACCTGGAGCTGAATTTAAATGAAATTTGTAGGTTTTAGCAGATTTTTTTTTTATTTGGAATTGTGTTAGTCTTGTTAATCCTCTTGTTAATTAAAAGTTTATATATCTTTAGCAATTTTTTCTTTCTTCCTCGTTTTTTTAGCCTATGATCTTAAGTACTTACTGAGGTAGCTTGAAAGTTAGCTTTATAATCTTTCTGTTGTGTAATAGTGAGGCCTGGGTTGAACTGTCAAATATACCTCATGCAACACATACTGTTTTACTCCAGAAATTTTAAAAATGAATTTAGAAAAGCACCTTCAAATGATTCTCAATACGAACATTTTTCTTTGTTGTGCATATATGTTAAGTGAAAGTCACTTAGATAAAAAAAAATCTGGAAATATTTTAAATTTGAATATATATCAATTTAGGACATTGTGTTACATGTTCAAGCCACTGTTCTTCCTAGGATCAAAGATTGTATTGAACATCTGTAAGATAGTTTTCAGATATAAATGTGTGATGGTTTCCTGCTGAATCTATTTCCATTATATACTTTAAAACATTTCCTGAAAGTGTGCCTTTATTTCCTTTATTTTCATATGTGTGTTCTGGTCATACCTCCAAAGAAAAGAATTAAGTGTGTGGTGATTACATTGCTAATGTTACTTGGATAATAATGGGTACACTCTATGGTCAAGTCAAAACTGAGAATGGTAACCTAACCCCAAGGCTGATGTCTAATTCTTGGCAATTATGGGAAATAGTTTGACATACATACTGTTCATAGGGAGCATTAAATTTTCTCCTCCTATCATGTTCTGTTGTAAAACACATTTATGAACAGACACAATTTATGGCCAACTGTTTCTACTGAGATGCTTACCTCACTCATACCCTTGCTGTGTGTCTGCATGATTCTGCATGACTGCTCTGTTCATTTGGGACTAGGAGCAATCTTTAAGTATGAAAGAGTTGAAAATGAAAACTGTATTTACCATCACTGTGAAACTCTTCTAGGCCCAGAACCCTTTCTTCAAACAAAGTCTTACACAGACGCCCAACATATAAAACACAGATAAAGTGTTTCATGCTTTTTAAACTAGAAATGGCCCCTGGAGTCACAAATTACTCTGTACTATTCTAGCTCACAAGACAACGAGCATATTCAATCAGAATTGAATTCTGATTCAATCAGAATGATTTTATCTTGAAATATACCCAGATCTCAGACGTAATTCATTTTGCTTAATTTGATGAAGTTAAATTGATGAAGTGAGTTTGGAGTGATTCCCTCAACCTCCTCTTAGTTTCTAACATTGTTGAAGCTCCTGGTCCTTTGGAGTTATGAACTGACCTGCTGAAACATGAGGTTACTGTTTTTACTTTACTTAAAAAGGATATAATGTTATAGTTGGTAATTTGAACAAAGACCTAATTTGTCCTTTCCTAACTCTTGAGCAGGGTGGACTTATATATACTCACACTCTTGCTGTCTTCTATTAAAATCACAAGTTTTTGTTCCTTTTGTTCCCTTTAATTCTAAGACTGAGGTCCAAATTCTTGTTATCATATTGTCGTGTGCTTTTATTAAGCAGGACTTTCTCAATATATTTCTTTGATTTAGCTGTACCTAGCCTCTAATCAGTATTCTTGTTCAAGAGGGCTCACACACTGCTTGTGATAGCTATTTGAAAGAGGATATGAGTGGTTGATTTCATTTTCAGTGCCAAAAATCTCACTATCAAGAAGCAGTTTGACTAGCTGTAACTTTTTATAGTTGTTGCATATTTTTAAGATCCTTGTTGCCTTATTGCACTTAAACTGTTTGATATATGTGAAAGGTGTGGTTAAAGCAAAATACCTAGCTAATATACTATTTATGTTAAGCGAAGGAATTACATAAATATCATAGACTAAGAAGACGGTTCGTGCATATGCTGTGTTCCCATAGAACACTCTTACTTTTTGTGTCTCTCTGTTTATATATCTCATTTAGGCTACCGGGGACAGAAGGGAGAAAGAGGTGAACCTGGAATTGGGCTGCCAGGGAGTCCTGGTCTTCCTGGGACTTCAGGTAATAGTGGTATTACCTTCACAACACAAGCAAGCCTCTAAAAATGGGAACTACTCCTTTTCCCTTTGGCTCTTAAGTATTGCTTCAGGTCAAGTAAAAATGATCCATTTTGTTTGGAGTGAGAAAGGGAGCATCATGTGATCTGCCTTTTGATGGAGTATTTTATTTCATTAGCCCCAGGTGTGCCAGGCTCACCAGGTGCTCCAGGTCCTCAGGGCCCCCCAGGCCCTAGTGGAAGATGTAACCCAGAAGATTGCCTCTATCCAGCGTCTCATGCCCAGCAGTGGACAGGTGGAAAATGAACAGCACACCTGAGGAAGACTTGGTTCCTGGTGATGCCTCCTTGCCATTGGAGCTATAGTAATACTGGCAAACCCTCATAATATGGGGGCTTTTTTGCTTTTTTTTTTTTTTTTTGGTATAGGCCAGACATTAAAAGCAACAATAGTAATTGCAATATCAGCATTTTTAAATTTTTCCCAAATTCATTCCATATGTTTTGTTTTACCATTACTACAATTTTTATTCAGGTTTTTGTATGAAATATGCAAGCAAATCTTCTTAGTTCTTCAAGAGGAAATTACATCTTACGATTTAGTGGACTGATGTTGGGGTACGTTTTGTATCTCATCAACGTGTTTGGCCTTTGGTTTCTGAATTTTAAAGTTTCAGGTTTTTCTTCAAGTTTTCTTTGTGTTTAAATTTACTATCATTGCTAAAAGTTTTGTCAACTTTTTCAAATAGTTCACTGCTCCTGTTGAATGTTTTTGACTACTTTATATAGCTTAAGAATTCTTACACCATCCTACATCCATCCTACTCATACAGGGAAACAGGCAATAAGATCTTCACTTTACAACTTATGTTCTGGAAAAACCACATGAGGCTATGTCATGAGGGAACCAAAAAAAAAAAATTTCCTCATTGCCAACTACTGAAATGATGTTGTTAGGTCTGTATAATGAGCTCAATTCAAAGCAATCACCAAGTGCATGAATACGTACTGCATGCAAAGGAACAAATTTTAATTGTATAAGCACATGTTGCATAAAAAAAGTCTTAACACTCTGTGGCCCCTTCGCTGAGTTTCTCATTTGAGAAAGAGCTGTTTTCCCTAAGAGGTGTTTGGTGGTGAAAGGCACCAAGCTGTCATTGGTACTCTTGAAACGTCAATGGCCTACCAAGATCTTTGGGCCCCTGTAGCCATTATCCTTCTGGCCTAATTACTCTCAAAGTTTCAGACAAAAATTGGCCATAAGAGCAAAGGATGGGATTTGTAGCAATTGGAAAAGCAACACTCTTGCCCTAGAAGATAAATGTGTGGTGTCAGCACTTGCATACCAAGAAGGTGGCACCCAGAAGTTCTAAAGGAGAATGATGTCTCTCTAGAAGCTGCAGCAAGAGGTACAGGGCATCAAAGGAAAGCCATGGGACCGAGCATTCAACTAGCACTCAGACCAAAGAGTTAGCACTCATACCTGGGAGAAGCAACAGGTGCTGCAAAGACCATGCCCTCTGAAATCAAATGAAAATATAATAGTCACCAACCAAATTTCTAAATGGTCTTTTTATTGCCTAGCTATACATTATTTTGTGGAACCATTGGTTGAAAACAACTGGTTTTCTAGGATATTGGACATGAGGATGTTGCTGAAATCTAGGTGATGGTCCCAGGCATGCTGTGGCAGCCCCTGCTGTCACAGAAATCAGAAGTTCATGCCTCTTCAAGGAGCAGTGCTGATTCCAATTTGGTTAAACCAGGACAAGATGATTGCTTTTGTCTGTTAATTGAAAAATGGTATATAAAGGCAAGCCCACTGAAATTGGAAAAAGCTGTGAACGGAGTTGTATCTAGGGAGCATGCCTAAATTAAGGCAGTGTTTGTTCAAATGCACCCGTGACTTGAACTGGTTTTTGTTATAGGTTAATGAACTGCTGGTCAGGTGTAGTCTACATGACTGTGCATACATATAACCTTTTAGTTAGTTCATATTGATTTATGCTGGGTTTTTTCCCTAATTCCAAGTTTATTTATTTTATTTTCCAAGTTTATTTTATTTATTTTAAGTGTTTTTAACTCTAAATCGATTTTCTTTTTCATTTTCTTTCTTTCCTGTGCAATACCTACAATGGTGCTGTGTTTTAAACGTATACAATTGGAATATACATATGTGCATTTCTTAGTAGAATGATAATTTATCCCAGAAAGTGTACATAGATCTAAAATCTGGTGCTATGTGTATATCTTGATCTTTTAATTTGTTGAACTATAATTCTGAAAGCTTACAATTCATCTATAATATGTCACTCATATTAATTTACTTGAATTTGTCAGAAAACTAAACATTTTATATGTTTTCAAAGATTATTTTTCATATTAATTAACAGGTTGTTTTTCCTTTTGCCTCTTTGCTAATTCAAAAATATTTTAGCATTTTCATGGAATTTTTGCTGATTGTGAGCAATGTATTTTTTTTATTTTCTTTGAGTTAATGCTTTCATATACGTAAAAAAAACTCAGTTTTCTTTTATGAATTCTGTTCATCTAATTCCACAGAATATGTTATGCTTACTTTCTTACAAATTTTATATTTAGGAATCTCTCTTTTTATAATTTCCATTAACGTTTGACTGGTTTATTCCTGTTTTAGGGATTTGGATTTACTCATGGGAACGGGGGGTGGGGGTATATAATGCTATATGGTGCATATTGCAAAGTTAGAACAGTCAAAATGATTGAAGCTCACGTAACTTGGACCCATAGCTAAATCTGCCCTTGGCCTAACTAAAGAAGTGGGACTGTATCCACACAGTACAAGCCTCTCTCACGCTACTGTATTATTTACCTTCACATACTTTTCTGTGCCTCATCTCTGTGCATATGGTACATAATAGAGGGCAGAAGAGAGGTTGAGACCAGCTAATATAGCACTAACTGTAGTAGAGATTTGGCAGTTGCCTAATTCCTTTCATAAAAAGAAATTAAGCAAAGTAAAGTGGGAATTTTTTCCCCTAAATAATTCGCTGGTTGCCAAATCTCTTGTACCATTTTATTCCATTCCAATACATTTGTTTACTTCTCTGTAAACCCAAAACCCACTGCTGCTGAGTCGATTTCCAACTCATAGCGACCCTATAGGACAGAGTAGAACTGCCCCATAGAGTTTCCAAGGAGCACCTGGTGGATTCAAACTGTAGATATTTTGGTTAGCAGCCATAGCTCTTAACCACTACACCACCAGGGTCAGATGTCAGTAATGTCCACAGCAGGGAAGAAAATTATCAAATTTCCTGAATTATCTGTTATACCAAATAATTATAGGCCTTGACAACCATTATCTGAATTATCTGTTATACTAAATAATTATGCGCCTTGACAACCATTAATAATTAAAATGATGTTTGCCCTATACAAGAATGTTTGAATTCCAGTCTTTCACACCAAGATTAATGAACACTTTTTAGACAGAAATCCATCTAAGCAAAGAAAAAGGTATGACTTAATATTTACGGCCTTCAGAATCTAAAGGTAAGGGGAAGAATAATTCATGAATTTGTTCATTATTCTTTCCAGCTGAGGACAGTAACCATCACTTCTAGCCATAACAGAAGCACAACCAGTCTTAACCTTTTAAACATTTCACCTTGTGATCAAGGTAATCTAATAACTTTAAAGTAGCCCCATATGCTTATTTCTATATTTCTTGACATTGTTGAAACTAAAAATTTTAGTCACTTGATATATTATAGAGCTTAAGTAATTATCTTGAGACATGTTATCTATAAAAATTATCATTTGATGTTTTGTTTATAAAATAACTTTTTATGAATATGTATTATGGGTTAAATTAGGCTTAGCTTTTCTGCAGTCTGTCTCATCTGTTGAGAACCTGTGATATACCTCCTTTTGTCCACAAGATGGTGTTCAAAGTAATTCGTTCAGAAGAACTGAACAGACTCAGAAATACAAGATAGTTTAGTGGACAACAACTAAATCAGACCTTTGCCTTTGCACTTTCTTTTTTTTTTAACTTTTGTAAATAATATTGTTCTGTTAATTTATTTTTTGTTCATTTGTTTGTTAATTTATGTTTTTCTTCATTTTAAGTATTTTTATGAAGCTGGCACAATAGCCTCTGAGTACTTGGCTGTTTCAGTGGGGATATATATACATATTTATATTCCTAGTAACTTGCAAATTTACTACTTGTAACTTTAGTTTATTTGCACACTACCCTCATATCTTACAGATTAACATGAAGACACCTAAGTAATGATCCTACCTTTTAGACAAGGCAGATATTCTCTTTTGACAGACAAGTAAAAACTAGCATTTAGCTTATCACAAGGAGTAGACAATTTATAAAATTACACAATATCTAAATCTCCATGTTGTTCATGGCATTTAAGATTTTAACAGTTAGGTTTGTATGATGGTTGTATTTTTCTAGAAATATGTCACCATTTGCAAAAGTAAGATAAGGTAAGCTATTTTTCAAAACATTTTTATTTTCCTGACTTTGGTAATATTCTGAGGTTGAGAATTTCTAGGTTATACTGAAGCTGTTTCAGTAACTTCTCAGAATAGTTTTGTGGGTTTGTTCACCATTCTTGTTTTTAAATTACTTTCCACCCTTGCCTGTGTCTACCTTCTTAACACACACACGTGTTTAGTGTCATTGTTTCCCAGTGTTCTTTTTTAATACTTTCGCGTTGAGGCATTTACTCCCCCTTCATCCATCTCCTCTCATGGAGCTCACACACGCGGACTTCTAAGATGAGGAGATACGGGAAAAAAAATTGAATTTGCATCTTTTATGACTAGATACTTCAGAGTGACCTATATCATTAAATCGTATTCATTTATTAGTTGGTAAAAGTAGCATTAATTAAATTAAATTCATTCAACTACTAGGATCTCAGGAAACAGGACAAATGAACAGTTCCATTTTTATTGTGAGGTGTAGTTGGAGCTGTAATCCATTTCACTCAACAAAATCGTGCCAGAGTAACTGGTCAGTTTGGTGAAATGGAATGACTGAAGCACCAGGGGAACACAGAAAAACCTCATTGAGGCAAGTAGACCCAGAACAGCAAAACTTTACCTTCAACATAAGACAGGCTTATAAAACCAAAGCTAACTTTAAGAAAATCTCAATGGAAAGCAAAATTCAAGTTCAGATCCAATAGTGATATATGGTACAACTGAAGGAGATGTTACTTGTTTCATGAATTTGTCAGAGGAGAATACTGATAAAGTGGGAGATTTCACTACACTTAGGAGTAGTTAAATAGGATTTAAGTTTATCTGAAGGGTGTGTGTTGCTTGGCCATTGTATGCTTATTGGTGTAAAGATGCTAATTATTTTACAACTTTTTGTTTTGTTGTATGATTTAAAGTACATTTTAAGGATATTTTTCAGTGTATTAATGTATTTAAATTCAGGTTGTATTACGGCATATTTTATAACTATTTATTTTAAAAATAACTTTTAGGATGTATTTTCCCCATTTTGTTTGTTCTGTATCTTACATCATCAAATTATTTAAGGGTTAATTCTCCCACTCCTGTTAAGTGGACTAGCACTAATTTTATTCTAAATCCCACGTGGATATAATGCTTTGAGGCTTTGATTCCTGTATGTTTATTATGCATAATGAGTTTGTCACCTATCTCAGCAATAAAGGATTTGACCCTAAATCAGGGAATTCTAAAGTGCAGTTATTAACACCACGCCTACTCTTCACCATTTTTTGCGGCTGAAGCTCCACACTTCCATTCCATTTGGGTAGATCTCCACCATGAGGATGTTCTAAATGCTCTCGAGTAGCAAGGTGAGTCACACAGGTGTCCAAGGTAACTGTAAATGGTCTATTGCCGGGTTCATGTTTATACCATGCTGGCAATTATAGTTTTGATGAATAAATTCCTCGGCTCATAAAAATGAACTTTATAACCCATCTCCTTGGCATCTCGTAAACGTTCTAGTCTGATGATTGCGATGAGAATTATAAGTAGAAACAAAAGTCGGAGAGCAGGCAGTCCTTTGTGACTTTTGTCCCACAAAATGATCTCCTCACTAAAAACATTTGAGACTCATTGCTGTAGAGGGGTCTGAGCAAGTTGGGTATCACAGTTAGCACTTCTCATAAATTTAAGCTTTCAAATCATTAGTGATAAGACAATAGGCAATAATTAGTTAAATATATAGCATGTTTTCTTAACAGAAATTAATGACATCAAAACGTGCCAGTGGATTTATATGTTTATTTTCACTGGGAAATTATTTAGATAGTTCTTACCTATTCTCATCTCAGGTCCCCTTATATAGCAGAGTAACTAGTTGCTCTCTAAGGAATAGTGTAAATCTGTTAAACTTGAAGGAAAAAGACAAATTCAAATAAATCTCAAAGTTAGTTCCTTAAAGCCAATAGCCCTCCCCTCATTTGTTTTCTCTCCAGTTCTTTTTAAATAACTTGGAGTCAAGAGCAAGATGTAAAGACCTCATGTTAAGGGAAAAGTTAACATGAATTGCCAGTTATTAAGACTAAAAATACTATCAGTCAGCATCCTCTTCCTGATAGAGCTAACAGGTATGTTACATTTCCCCTAGTTAATCATTTAAAGAGCA